GACTTACTTGTCTCTACTTCAGTGCTTATTCTCAAAGACAATCTGATTCCAGGTACCAAAGAATTAATAAAAATGGTATTTAATTATTACTGAGGGTACCAAATATGTACAACATCAGAAAGGTAACAGAACTGGAGCTGAACTGTTTGTCAATCTACAAAGGCCAGTTTTTGTTTATAATACCTCAACAAATAATACTCTAAGTCTACTAGACTATAAACAGACATCACATTTAAACAATTTTATCCTAGGACAAAGTGAAATTTCAGAAGTTCATATCCATTGTTCTGAGGTAAATCCTACAAAAAGTTTCCCAGATAAGAAATATTAACAATTTATCTTGGGATAATGCAAAGCACATCTCTACATTTATCCCAGGCCTGCATCACTGAATTGATGGTAGAAATACTGCACTGCATTCAACCACTCAATAACGGAAGTATGATGTGTGTGCATGCCAATCCCAGGATAAACACAAGCACAACTTGCTCAGGAACAAATGTAACATCTGCTCCTAGCCATACATATCCAAAAAAGTATTTCTTACGGACAGTTTACATTATATGCTGCTGTAATAATAACAAAAAATAAAAATCCCTAATGCACTTTAACAGTATTGCAGCAATCCCTCTTCCTGGGTCTTTAAAAACTGACACATGGAGAACGCAAAACTAGTCAAGTAAGTACTACTGTGCCAAAATTAATTTCTGATAGATGTATTCAGGACCACTTTACACCAAAAATGTTGAGAGAACTGATGATGTTTCCCCTTTTTCTTGAGTTCAATGAATTCAAACTTAGCTTCCACAAGTTCATCCTATGGAGCAAATCTGACCAACTTAAGACAAGTGAGTATAGACTTGCCCAAGATTTCCCCTACTGCCATCTTAGCTCAACGGCCCTTGACCACAGATCCTGCCATAATGGTTTCTTGCAGGATTCTGCTCCCCATCCTTCCCCCAGTACATAAAATTTAGTGGGTCCTTTTTCACACCTGGATTCTGTTGATCCTTTTATGGTAATACAAAGCATCCCTCAGATGATCAAGTTTCCTGCAGAGCAACTAAGAGCTCTGAAGTTAAGAATGTATTTGTATTTTTTTTTCATTTTAATAAACACAACCCACAAAACTGTATGATTCTAACTTTTTAAAGCCTGCCTGAAAAACTGAATAATAAATTGTTAAATGACATTAAACGTTGAAGAAATGGAAAATGTCAACCAGTTCTCATTTTTGTACCATTACTCATATTAGTGATACATATACCCAAGTTGCTGTTTAGTATCAGAATGTGTACACAGGACTTAAAATATAGGTAAATGTAATTGTATACGTTAGAAATAACAATGAACTTATTTTCATTCTGTCCTGTTTCTGTCTTAAAGGAAAATGAAATTGTTTTCATACCTGGACCAAGCAGTGGGGACCGGTTGGGCTGGGCACTTGACTGGTGCAGTGGCTGAGGTTCAGCCATATTGGTGTTGATAATGGTGGTAGTGGTGGTGGTAGTGGTGGTGGTACTGCTCTGAATTATAGGGTTGTTTCTATCCCACATGTTTACAGTCTTGTTGTTGTTGTAGTTAGGGTCGCCCCAAGCTGAGGTACCATCATCAATTTCCATCTTGCGGCGAATGGATGGTGGCGAAGGCTCTTCCCAGCCAGTTGCCTCACTGTTATCTTTTTGTTTGGCTGGCACTGGCCCACCAACCCATCCTGACCCAGTCTGTTTAACAGAAGCAGCTCCTCCCCAGGAACTCACATTGTTATCCTGGGGTTTATTAGCCCAGTTTTGCTGGGGGCTAGGTTTTAATGATTCCCCCCAACTTGTACCTGTATTAGCCTTGGTGTTTGTGCCATTTCCCCATCCACTGGTCCCAGACCTTGTAGTATCATTCCAACCAGACCCTGATCTATTGTCAGCATCCCATCCCGATCCATTCTTTTTCCCATCACCCATGTGTCCAGGGACAGATGATGAATCTGCCCAATCTCCACCTCCTGAAGTCCAGCTTGGATTTGATTTCTGTCCATCTCCCCAATTTTGAGATTTGGGTTTCTGAGGTTCACCCCAGGTAGGTGATTTGTCCTCCTGATTTGCGGTCCCACTCCAAGCGTGGCCGCTTTTGGCAGCAGCAGCATTATTGACAGCAGTAGAGCTTGCTGATTCTCCCCATCCCCCTGGGCCATTTGGTGCTTTGTTGTTGTTGTCTCCCCAACCTGTATTTGTTGGAACAGCTGCAGGTGGAGAGCTGACCCACCCAGATACTGAAGAGGTATTTGTACTGTTCATGATGGACCCATCATTCTTCCCCCCTGAGTTTGAAGACTGAGTAGCTGCACAACCCCAGGCCTCCGTCCCATTGTCATTCTTTCGTTCAGACCTTGGGGATTCTTCAAATTCCCAGGCAGTGTTTTGCTTTACCGGAGTCTGTCCCCACCCAGTATTGGACAGGACCCTTGGGTCAAGGTCATTCCTTGGCAACTGGACTTGCCCTTGGTCTATCATCCCTTTGTCTCTCCTTCGGCCCTCTCCAGCTCCTTCTCTCCCAGTACTGCCTTCATTTTGACATCCACCACTATCATTACTTCCTTCACTAGCTGTGGTGCCAGATGCTGCAGCTTTGGCCCAAGAGTTCATTTGTTCATTGCCCTGCTGCATGGCAGGATTCTGGCTGGTAACACTAGGGCTATCCCACCCTGTTGATCCTTTCCCACTGATGTCACTATTGGAATGCTGGTTTGGGGGCTTGCCCCATTCACCATTAACACCATTACTGGTGTTACGGTTGGGGTGGCCCCAAGCTCCAGAATGCATACTACCAACACCACTGTTGCCACTGCCCCTGCCCCATGCTAGTACCCCAGGACCTGCTGGAGGTCCTGAATCCCATGCACTTGCTCCATTTCCTTCCTTTTGCACAGCGTTGCTGGATCCATTTTGTTTAGCACTTAATGCTGAGTTCACAGTGTCTCCATTCCCCTGACTGAACCCAGAATTGCTGTTTCCTGCGGCAGGATTACCTGGGGATATCCCCCACACTGAATTGCCCATTCCTTCACCATTGCCCCCACTGACTTGAGAAACTGATGTTCCATTAGCACCAGGAAGGCCTTGCAGGTGGGGCGGGATGATGGCCCCCATACCAACAGCCATCCCCCAGTTCGGCAGTCCATTTGTCTGCATTGCATTGATAGGGTTTGGTGAAGAGTTCATGGGGTTAGTGTTATTTGGTCCATCAGTGTTAAGGTTCTGAGGTTGTACGCTGAAAGACACATTCTGAGAAGTGGACGTTTGTGGTTCTGTGCTCTCTTGCGGCAGCAAATTTCCCCAAGCACCTAAGGTGCCTGTTGGGTTCCCATTCTGGTTGCCCATGTTTTGACCTATGGCACTGACTGGACTGCAAATACTGGAAGGGTTGCCTGCTCCCACAGTTCCTTCATGTCCGAGTACAGGCCAGGCAGCTGGATTGGCATTAGGGTTAAGGTTAAGATTAATGCCAGCATTTGAGTTGGAAGCACCCCAGCAGTTTGGACTTCTACCATCTCCAATCATGTTGTCCATCTTTCCATCCCCACCACTGGCAGAGCAGTGAGCTAGGCTAGAGCTGGAGCCTGTGGCCACACCCCATACTCTGGCTGAGTTTCCATTACCATTTGCTCCACCAGCTCCAAGGGCACTCTGGTTAGAAGTGCTTTGGATGAGTGCTCCATTGGCGCCGTTATTGCCATTAGTTTTCTTTGTATGTCCAGTGAAGTTGCCTTGGGCACTCCCTGTAGCCATGCTACTGTTCTCTGAGCCACAGTTGGAGGCAGAGTCAGTGTCTGTAGTACATTCTGAGGCAGATTCAGTCTCAGTTCCTGTAATGGAAGGCCACGCCTCCTTGTCAGTCCTGTCTATTATCACTTTATCCCAACTGCAGTTGCCTTCACTTCTGAAAGTGGGCTGCTGTCCCCAGTGGGAATTTTCATAATGGTCTCCCAATCCACTGTGACTGAGATCTGCAAAGGATTAGACAAAAGACAAAATCAGTCAGCATCCAAAATGTGTTAAAAACTACCGCTTAGTACATTTGACTGAGTTGCGATACAGTACTCTACATTAAACTTAAAAGCAAGCTAAAATACGGACTACAATACTTTATAAAGAAGTGTATAAGATAATCTTGTGCATCAAACTAAGCACCTACTACGTTTCTGGCTAAAACACGTTTCTATTATAATGCTGCAATAGGAGCAAATGTAATCAAACATTTAACTAGTGATTTATCAATTTCTTAATGTTTTCCATACATCTAATATTTTAATCAAAATCACAAGTTTTGTTCTGGAGCCGGCCAAATACTGTAAAATATTCTGTATCGTTTGTCATGCCAGTTGAAATTAATAAGAAAATGATATATGTAGATAGGAAATAAATTATACAAAAACACTGTAAGCTTGAACAGAATTCAAAAACAGATTCAGAAAAAAAACGAGCCTATTAAGACATCTAATCTTTCCTGATGCTGATGTAAGACTGTCCTTACAACATAATTTCTAGGCATTCAGCTGTTTTAAATTTTTTTATGTTTCAATAACTGGGGCTTCCAAAAATAAAGACAACAGTTATGGAAGTTTAAAGGTTTTCAATTACAATACCTCTGAACCAGGAATTAGCTGCATCCAGGAGAACTTTTAAGGTAACAAATTCTACATTCAGATCCAAAAATAATTTAAGAAAGAGGAATGCTGTTCGGAGCTTTGCTATTCTGTTTAATTAATGGTCTCAGATATTTGACTCAGTTTTGTCTTTTTTAAATCTTTCAGGTAAGTTTGAGGAAAGACAGATAAATAACAATTACTTTAGAACTTAAATTACATTTTTCATGTAATATGTTTAAAGAGGCATTACCTAGATAAAACAAGCCTGCCACTAGCAATATGTACAGTAACAAAACACTAAATTAATCCCTGATTTAAAAGTTTCTCCACTCAATTTAAATGAGATACAATCTATTTTAAGGCAAATATAATAATGGTATCAGCGTGGTTACAACAAAATGTTTCCGTAGAGCAAACTATGAAGTTCAAGAAAACAGCTTGGTTGTCATGCAATGTAGATCTTACATTATTTAGATGTTACCTATCATTTAAATGTGCAATTATAATCCATTTTGTCTCCAAAACCTATGAAAATGTTACTTTTGTACTTACCTTGAAGTGTAGCACCAGTTCCCAACCCCCACCCTCGCCTGACATATAACTTAACCCCCATATATAAGCAAATTTGACTGAGGATCTGGGACACTGAGTTAACCTGAGAGAAGCCAAGTTTATTTCAAGTTGTAAAGTCTTAGATAAGGTTACCTATCCTGATTTTTCAGTACAGCATAAATAATTATACTATTATCTCCCTTCACTTTCCCATGATAAGAATTTTATTCTGCACAATATTAGGTTTATCCAAGGGACACTTACTGCAGGCAAGTTCTAGGAAGGGTAAGAAAAAACAATGCAGAAGTGCTGGATGTTATTTTTAACTTCTCCAAAATATTTTACTTAAAAGACAGTCTGAATTATTTATAGCACACATAATTAGCCAACATAATTATGTCATCAATGAAAAAACCGCTACAGAAAACAAAGACTAATAGTGCTATACACATGGCCTGTTTTGAATAGCTATGCACTCTATAAGCCAAGATAAAGCCAAGGATAATGCTTCACAGGTAGTCTATTGCCAACAATTATGCTTCAGCGGATTTTAAAACCTATGCCAGCCTACAAAACTAGTCAGTCTAGTAACTGAAAATAGCCAAGAAATAGTTTATTTTTTTAATATCCAAAAGATTTATAAAAGTACATAAAATTTTTCATTTTTACATATAAAACAATACTATTTGTCATAATAAAAATATGATCGAATCTATACAGATAAATCTTAGGTTTGACCAGTCAGGATTAGAATACACATTTTTCTTTGGTGTACTATTTTTTATATGTTGATTAAATAAAGTAATGGTGCATAACCTTCAATTTATACTGAAAAAACCTTGCTGTTGATTGATATCAAATCAATCAAAATGCAAAATGATACAGAAGCAAACAATGGAAAGAGCCAAATGTCCTATCAACTAACACCATCCTGCCAATGACCTTTGAATACATTCTAAAACCTTATCCAGTATGCAGACGCTGAAAAATGGTTTGCTCAGATACTGAAATCAGAATTGCAAGGATCATTCTCGCTTGGAATACACTGTGCATTCTCTGGTTTAGATCATACAGCCATTTCATGGGTCCATGCAACTCCTTTAATCAGCTGTTACAAAACTTGATACCCCAAACATAATAACTACTTTCTATGTTGACTGTACAAAGCACAACAACATGAGAATTTATTTTTAGAAAATTTACTCAAAGAAGGTCACGGCATTTTCTAAATCCAAACGCCCCGCTTGCTATACCTCCGAATATTAAGAGATCTCAACTGAAACCTCCCATCAATCTGTCATTATCACGTGCATCTACCTCACTGTTTCTATGATTTGATAAAGAGTGTCATTTTATAAAGTTAGCAACTTCTGTAATTTCTAAGACATTATTTAAAGCTTCTTCAGTTTTTGCAAAATACACAAAAGCATAAAGCAGTGCTAAATATAAAGGGACAGTAATGGACACTTAAGTATTTCCACATAAAGCCCATTTTCTGAAACTTCAATTTAATCTGGCTGAAACTTCACAAGACCATTTCTATTAAGAGGAGGGAAGAAAAAACACCTTATGCTGTGACCAGTTCTTTTGCCTTCCCGCAAAGGAACTGCAGGGCACTCATATATGCGATGGACCTTTGCAGACTGGCACGCCTTGGATCAGACTCGATTAATCGAGTCTGCTCCAAGTCTGCTGGAGCTCCAGAAGCCTCCACATCATGTGCACTCAGTGCCCCCATGTTTCAAAAAGGTGGTGGGGGCGCTTTAACTAAAGTTTGCCAAATAAGCTTTAGTTAAAGCACCCCTGCCACCTTTTTGAAGTGTGGGACGCTGAATACACGTGATGCTACAGGTGCTTTAATAAGAGCAGCTCTCAGAGCCGCTCTAATTAAAGCCCCCACCTCCAACCTGGAGCACGTTGCACAACGTCTGCAGTTTCTGCAAAATGTAAAGGTTTGCAGGAACTGCAAGTCAATTAGGGGAGATCTACTCTCAAAAGTACTATCTGATATATCTAATTTGTCCGTGGGGAAAGTAAGGGGCTTTGTGCGAACAAATTTAGAATATGACTTATTTTGTTTACTTACATAATGGGGATATGTGGTGAGTGACACTATTTTTTTTAGAAGTCTATTCCAGCATGTAACCTTTATGTAAGTGTTGGAGTAGCTTTTAATTTTTTAACTGCTTTATCAATTTCTATTAATCTATCCAGAATGCTATTAATATTAGCAAATATTTAGAGAACCATGTATATTTTAATGTTAATTTGGTCCACTTCTTCAATTTCTTCTACAGAGTACAAATTAAACAAATTTTCTTCCACTACTGAATACCTCGCCTCCAATTAAACTAGACATTAAAAGAAAGCTACAGAGGACTTTGGGACTGGGCAGTTTAGGAAATCATGCAGAGTATTCTGTATTCCATTAAGTTATTCACTGGCAACGGGAATGAACCAACAACATATCTAGCGGGCAAATGTCAGAGCAAAACAAAAACACAACCCATTACTAAAAATGCTGCTCTTCCCCAAAGGCAGCATGGAATTTCAATACAGAAATCCAATTTTGGTACATCTAAGCTGGGTTGGAAAATATCTCCTATTACCATTGTGTGCATGCTCTTTTATAATATGGAAGTAATGAACAGTTGGTGCAAAGAGAATTCAACAGGGATTCCAGAGAAGGGGGGGAAATAGCAGGAACTGTGGAGCTATACTAACCTACTACTTGAAAAATGAAAACATCGTAGTCTACATCATGGGTGTCCAACTTCTAAACCATCATGGGCCACAAGCCCTCGGGCCACCTGACACGTGGGTCACACCCAGGTACTCCCCTATCTACTGCTGTACCACATGTCTATGCAGGCACCCCCTCACCACAGCACCACATGGGTGCACAAGTACAAATCCCCCATGGCTGCAACACATGCCAGCAACGGTACCCACTTCCCCACACTGCTGCAGCAACATGCATATGCAACCTCTCTTCTCCACTCTGCCCTCTCCTTATGGTCCTGGACTCACCCTCAACTCCTCATGCTGTCACACTGCCTTGGCTGCTGAGTCAGAGGTAGGAAGTGGCAGCTGGAGGAGAGAGGGGGAGCCTGGATTGCAGCAATATGGGGAAAAGCAGCCGGATGAAAGCCCAGGTGGTGGCAGCAGCAAGGGGGGAGGCTGAAATTTAACCCCTCACAGGCTGCCAGTTGGACAGTCCTGGTCTAGGTATCATATTCTGGCATATCAACCAATAGCAACATCCCGTAAAAATAACAGTTCTGTCAAGCTATACACAAAATCTAGCTGTCAGGTCAAAATCATATTGTATAAATGTACCAGCCTTGCATCCCTGTACTGGAGGCATGACTAAGACATGAGTTACTGTGGGTATTGTTGGAAGTGTCTCATTGCTCTCAGGGACACTGCATTTCAAAAGGGAATAGTAGATTTGTATACAAAACCTACTTATACACATCAAAGGAGGAGAAAAAGAAAGACCATCTTTAAAAAGCATAATCCTGGGGTCTCTAGATTGGGTCTGTTTGGTATTACATATGAAATGGCTAACTACTAAGCATTCTTAACGTCTACATTATGACATATCTTGTCCTGGCAATATTTATAGTCTAGGGAAAAGTTCTGGAAGGAGTTGATAGGTGGAATGTGGGTATAGGTAGGACCCTACCAGATTCATGGCAAAAGTGGGTTGCACTGGAGCTCCTTAACCTTGCAGGTTCCTTTGTGCACCCCACCCCCACCCCAGCAGCTGATTGGTGGAGGGACCCCACTTTCCGGTCACTCCT